CTTAACCAACTGAGCCACCCAGGCGCCCCAGGACACTTGGATTATTTCCACCTTTTGGTTATTGTGAACAGTGCTGCTGTGAACATTCATGTAGAAGTACTGAAGTACCTGCTTTCAGTTTTGTTGAATATTTAGCTGGGAGTGGAATTCGGGGGTCATTTAGTAATTCTATAGCTAACTTTTATTTTTTTTAAAGATTTTATTTATTTATTTGACAGAGGGAGACACAGCGAGAGAGGGAACACAAGCAGGGGGAGCGGGAGAGGGAGAAGCAGGCTTCCCGCGGAGCAGGGAACCTGATGCGGGGCTCGATCCCAGGACCCTGGGGTCATGATCTGAGCCACCCAGGAGCCCCTGCTCGCAGCGTCTTGCTTTGCCTCGCAACTCGCACTCACGCTGGGTCTCTTGTATGGGTAGGGTCTTTCTCCTCATTCTACAGCCCAAATGGAGAGCCCGTGTATAAAAGGTGCTATTGTACTTTGTCCGAGGACACATAGCTGGTTGGCTGCAGAACTGGGATTTGCTCCAGAGCCCTTGTGCTTCGAGTAAATATTTGTCCAGTGGACGGGTGGCTCTCAGCCGGGGGTACGGGACAATATCTGGAAACCTGTTTGGAGTCACAGTTGGGGAGTTGGGGAGACGGCTACCGGCATGTGGTGGAAAGCCGCCAGCGATGCTGATAAACCTTTCGCAGGGCATGGGACGGCTGCCACAACACAGAATTATCCAGCCCTGTGTATGACAAGCGCTGAGTTTGGAAACCCTGCAGTAGGCACACAAGTCTTCATTGAGCGCTTACTGTATGCTGGGCCACTTCTAATTCATATCCCTAGCAGCCCCATGTGGGGAAGGAGCTGTTATCGGTGCTGGTTTACAGGCGGACAAATTCAGCCCGCAGAGGGGCAGGCAAGTCATGGGTCCAAGGTCACACACCGGATAAATGGCAGAGCTGAAAGTGGAAGCGTGGCAGCCAAGGTCCAGAGCCCAGCCCTTCAGCGTTTTGTTAACTGAGCGCGCCATGCAGAGGTGCTGGGTGCAACCGGCGTGCGCTCTGGAGTCCCACAGTTCCAGGTTTGGGTCCTGCCTGAGTGTCCGTTTCTCCTTCTCACAGGGCTGTTGGGACGCTTGGGTGGGGCAGTGTGAGGCAGATCCCACTCCGCGGCTGTCTCCTGAGGTCTCCAGGGTGCCTGGTTGGGCTGGACAGTACTCTTTGGACATAGCAGTGTTACAGGTATTCTAGTGGAGGTAACACACGGCACTCTAGCAGCCCCTGGAGGAACTGGACCCTCAGTGGGTGATAAGGATTGGTTCACGTGGTGGAACGACCTTACTTATGACTTAGTGTGTGCTTTCTCAGGGGTGGTGACCCTGGGACCCAGAGAAGGGTCCAACTGGCCCTGCTCTGAGGAACTCACTGTGGACAGCTGGTGGCTACCCATGAGCCCCCCTCCCCCCGAGATTGTGAGACACTGCAGCTTGATGCCTGAGGCCTGGCTCCTTCAGGTCAGATTCCAGTCCCATCCCGGAGGGATCTTTCTCACAGCAGAGTGGGCTTCTCTGCATCTTTGGAGACTCAGCTCTGGCCCAGGTCTCCTGGGAAGCCCTCCCTGCCACTCCCAGGCTTGTCAGTCCTCGAATGGAGGGATGGGTGGGCAGGTGATGTTGCAGACTGGCTGTGGAACCAGGCACACCTGGGTGTGAGTTTAGGCTCTGTTACTTATTACCTGGGTGACTTTGGGCAAGATGTCTTTACCTTCTCCATTTGCAAAATGGGGGCAATAATAATACTAATCTCATAGGACTGATCATCCCATAAATTTTCTTTGAGTGCCAACCAGCATGCTGGGCTCTGTGTCTGTGGTCTCTTGCTCTCCTGAAGCTTAAATTCTCATGAGGGAAGACAGCACACAAATATAACACCCCGTCTTGTTAAACACTGAAAGGAAATTAGTAAAGGTGACAGGATAGTAACTGCACGGTAGGGTGTGTGGATGCTGTGTTAATCGGATGATTTGAGGAGGCTCTCCAAGTAGGGGAAATTGCATGGAGGCTTCAAAGAAGAGAAGGAGCCAGCTGAGCAAAGAGGAGGGACGGGAGAAGAGCAGGTACAAAGGCCCTGGGGTAGGACTGGCCTTGAGTCTGAGAATATAATCAAGGAGCCAGTGTGGCTGGAGGAGAGAGAGCCAGGGACAGAATGGTAAGAGACAAGAAAGGTAGGCAGATGTGAGACCTTGTGTAGCAAAGAAGCAGAGCGTTTTCAGTGGGGGAAGTGACATAATGTGATTTTTTTTTTTTTTTTAAAGATTTTGTTTGTTTATTTGACAGAGAGAGACACAGCAGAAGAGGGAACACAAGCAGGGGGAGTGGGAGAGGGAGAAGCAGGTTTCCTGTGGAGCAAGGAGCCTGATGTGGGGCTCGATCCCAGGACGCTGGGATCATGATCTGAGCCGAAGGCAGCCGCTTTACCAACTGAGCCACCCAGGCGCCCCCATAATGTGATTTTTATTGAGGGGAAAAAACCCTTTCTGATTGCTATGGGGTGATTTGCATCTAGGGCGGCAGGCTTGGGAGCAGGGAGATGATGAGGGGGGCTGTGGTGGCCGGCCCAACAACGAGATGATGTCCACGGTCAGTGGCGTAGTAGTTAAGAGCCAGGGCTTTGGACTGGGGCATCCAGGGGACCTTTCAGCCCACCAACTCCAGGCCTGTGCCCCAGAGCCAGGGATCTTCTCTCTTGACCTCCTGTGCTCTGCTGCAAAATGCGGTTGGCCACAGAAGTTTCTCGTATCAAAAGGAGAGTTGTTCAAACACAGACTTTCTCCTAAATCTCATCGGTCAGAGCCCTCGTCTACCTCCTGCCTGTGGTCAAGAGGACTGTCCTTTAGTCGTGATTGAGAGCAAGCTGCTGTAGCTAGGAGGCCCCAAACACAGTGGCTCAAGTCAGATAGAAAAACTTTTCTTTTTTTTTTTTTT